CCATGAGAGTTGGTGTCGCAAACACTGTCGCCCGGTTACAGGCGGCGATTTGGGGTGACGATATGCTTGAGGAGATTTACTTACATACTGAGAACTATGCCCTATGAGCCCGGCTTGATGATGGCTCTGTACTTGTACTGATGGATGACGATCTTGGATGGGAAATACCTGGCGTTCGATACCACGGGATGATGATGTATACCTACCTAATGGCGGCATGTCCGCTGCTGATGACACTTACACTTAATACAGGAGATGAACAAAACGCTTTGCATATCTTGAAGCTGTCTTCAAGTGATCTGAGTTGTCAATATCATCACGCATCATAGTCAACGCAGGCACACGTGACGCTGGGCCCCCCCTACAATGCAACAAATGTGTTCCAAGGCCCCTGATGGCGAGGAATTTCAACGACGAGAATCCACTCCTTCTTGAATCGTGGCACCCTAACTCGTGGCACCGCTTATATGTTGATACATTATGGCTGTCCGTTGTCTGATGCGGTGTCAACGTGATGACTTGCTATATTTGCACTTACATGCGTATTTAAACATAATACATCAAATTAGGGAGGGATGGCGGCGATTTATGAGAGGCGGGTAAGGCTGTGCTTGGTTAGGCACTCCTTCCAGGAGGGGTTTAGGAATGAGATCACTTGGGCAGGAAGATATGGTATCTCGATTTTCAACGATGCAGACTGTCATGACTCATTGGCTGATACCCTGGGGCTTAGGTTACAAATGATGATGTGGCTTTTATAGGTGATCTCTGTAGGCTTGTTCTGGCTCTTGAGCCATGGGTGGTGTCGAGTTGTGGTATTTGAGCTAGAGCTACAGCTGCGGCGAAGGCTTCTGGCTGATAAGGGCAGTCTTGTTATTGTTCTCTTTGTCTCCAGCAAAATCCTTTGGGGTTTTTTTCGCCCTGGGTACGTACTGGCCCGTTCTGAGTTCACGCTGACGCTGAGGGCGGCCAGATCGGAGGTTCGTAGGAGACATCAATAGGATTTCGATAGTATGCGTCGCTATTCTCGGCTGTTTGGTGGGATCTGAATAATTGGGAAACGGGAGACCAATGTGTGTTGGTGTCGAGTAGTGGGGAAGGGGAGTGAGTACGGACGTCTATCGTCCTGCGGGCTATGGTTCATTGGCGGGTGGCACTTGGCGTATGAACCGCGAAATTTCTGCTGCTCATCAGATCTTCACCTCTTATTCTGGGACTTAAGTAGCTCTGTTGCGAGTCCAACTGCGTTGCTCCATTGAAACAAGGGCGCTCGGGGCGAGACTCGTGTTGAGAGATTCACAAAAACAACTGGATTGTTATTCGTCATAGGCCCCATTTAGATGTCAAAGATGGCCATCGTATATAAGATGTTCCTGGAAGCTCATCTATATGATTTCATCGCAAATGGGATCTTGGTGAAAGGGCTCCTCGGCTCTCTAGTCCACTAATTCTCCTGCGACCCCAAGCATATCGTAGAAATAAGTGCGCGAAGCGTTTGGGCATCGCTTGTTGTTTGACGGTGTCCGTCAGCGCCCCCCTCAATTGAGTACCATTCAAAGAATACTCAACGAACGGCTAGAAGAGTGTGTTGCTTCAGAGATTGCGATATCAACAGGGTCGGCTGGTCTGACAGAAACGGTACGGGACATCAGCAATTCTTCAATCTCAACCGCCGCAGACACAATCCAAGGCTACCAGAACATTTCAGCCCCAAGGCGTTCCCAATAACTGGATTGTCTGCAAGAGGTTTCAAGTGTCAGAAGTGGCAGGTATTTATAACCAATACGATTAGTGCCAGAGGTAATGCAGGTAACGGTGTCAGTGTGTATTCCCATCCATGCTCGTGAAGACGAGTTCGGATGAGCTGAGTCTTATACACCTTCAGTCGTGTTAAATTACCTTTTCTATTCGCAAAACGTGAGCATTGATTCTGTCTCGTTTCTAACAAGATGGCTAAGTTACAACGATCTTATGGTGCGGAAGATGTGATGATGCACTTCACATAGTGACCTCCATTGAGTTTTCTGGTCGTCTCTATCATCTGATTATTATTCAGGCATTCTGTGGAACAGCCAACAAGTGCATTCACTGAAGGTCAAGCAGATCCAGCTCAGCGCAATTATGGCACGGGAGCTTCTACTGTATCTGTCGAAGTCGACATCGCCCGTCAGATCATGATCTTCTCAGTGACGATAGCACTGGCAGATTGTTGATTTCAAGTTCCGGTCGACTCAACCTGAAGTACCCGTCGAAGAATTGGGAGGCTCAGACGTACATGTTTCAGATCACAACAAGTGTATCTCCCTATCTTGAGGGTGATGGGGAAGTGTTTTCACTGCCATGACAACAGGAACTAGGATGGATTTCTCTTATAAGTTTGCCCTGAGCTGGAGTTTTTGTTCGGCAAAATATGCTCCCATGGAGTAATTTTCTCACTTCGTTGTCGGAGGGTCCTCAGGTGAAGACAGATCCTCGCGGACTTCTTCAAGCGGCCTTATGGGCTCACTGTCGGCGGCGCCAGCTCACTGGCTGGTTTCCTTCGTTATGTCCCACGTATTTCTGAGTGAATGAGGATTTTGGCTGTCCGGATGGTCACTTCTGCCTGACGGAGAGACATAATAAACGCACGCTGTTTAAATTTCCATGTCTTTTGCGTCTTGTAAATTATCACGCTTGTTGTAGTCGTCGCCATTTTCGCCATCACGTCCGTTCACATTTTGTCAACATCCGCCCAAATTGCAAAACTCTTTGACATATAGGCAATATATCAGTTTTCGGATTTCTTCATCATATTGAATTGTTCGCAAGCTGCACAAAAGCTTGCTTTAAGTCCCGATTCACGAGACTGCGTCAAGCCAGCCGTACCAATCTGCTGTCGTCAGGCTGCGTTCTCGCAGCGCGATCATGACATTCTTGGTTAGCAGTTCAGTGCAAGAGATCATCAGGCAAACAGTTCAGAACGTCGACCATCAATGCGCGGCGTAAGGATTTCTGTTGTTACAGAGATCCAGGCTTCAGCTGCCTCCGGAGGCATATCTGTGTCAAGCTCGGGGGGGGGGGGGGGGGGGGGGGGGGGCAGGTCGCAACCGAGCTCTACCGAAGGTCAGCTGTGTCTCCTCTTGGACCATGGGACAAATTGGATATCCTGGACAATGAAGAGGATGGCCCGGCACAAGACGGCGAAAGTGACGGAGGGAGAGAATACAGAGTTTGAGAATACAACGGAGGAAATAACCAATTACTAAAGCAGGGCCCCTGAGCATGATATTACAGTACGTGTAGACATCCTCAATAGAGTATAGCTAAACATTAGCTATCATTACTGATGCACCTTCCCTTCCCCCCAGTCATAATCCGGTGCTCGTTTCTTGTCAAAGCATGCCGCAACCCAAATAATCCCAATCATACTCAGAAACATAAATCCAAAATACTTTAGAAAAGGAGCCATTGCCAACTCCGGGTCCATAAACTTGAGCACTAGGAGACCGAGTGCCGCAGGAACGCCCCAAATAGCCACAAGTACCATTTGGATTACGAACAGGAAACCTTGATGGGCCTGATGGCGGGGAGGGCCGGAAGAGAAAATGCCGAACCGCCCCGGTATGTGCAGAATTTCTGTCTGGATATGGTAGCCACGGGTGGCGATTGCGAGATGAGCGGTGTTGAGGCGATTATCAGCTCCAATCTCCGGGCCGAAGATTCGGTTCAAGTTCGCGGAGATGCTCATGGTGATGGTGGTTTCTAGCTACGTATTAGCTGGCTATCCGTGCGAGGAAGAAGCTTTTATGTTACAAAACTCTGTGGTCCTGGTCAATGTGGCCCGTTAGCGGGGCGAGGATGCGCTGATTGTAGTACGATTCACGAAGCAACTGTCGTTTTGCGAATTTCGGATGAAGCTGTAGCAGAAGGCAGATGTGATGATGAGATCTTTTTTCTTCTTTGGCGGGGAGCCAAGAAGAAGCTTTCTTATTAGGTATACAGCAGAGGACTTCGCAGGATTCTAATTGTTGTCACATTGTGGTATGACTAGTTGGAAAGGTAAAGCTCCGTACCAAAGGGGTTCTTCCGGAGGATGCCGATCCTGGGACCTAGTGCAGGACATCAATATTCCTAGAACTAGTGTGCCACTAACAATGGCCATCCTACAGATACTGGTTCTGCATGAGGGGCCGTTATCATGATCATTATGTGCGACTCCCAGTGTCAAGTTGGGGCTTTGGCAGGCCAATGGGTTATTTCAATTTGAACTGGCTACGTAAAATTCTGAATAGCTAAGATATCTCATCAGTGTGCCCACATACAGACCACAGAAGCCACCCTAGTCATCGACAAACAATCCTAATCATTCTTTGCTTTTCATGCCTTGCGCTCTTTCAACTTCATCTTCTCCTCCCAGAACTTCTTGTAACGTTCCACAGCACCGCTTCCGTATTCTCCTCGTACCCGCTTGATCCATTCTTCATCAGGTTCGAGAAGCTGATGGCAGTCTGGCTCAGCGCTCCCCGCAAGGCAAGTAAACTTGTCAAGTTCAATCAATCAATCAATCAATCAATTATGAAGCTATCGCTAGTCAATCAAGTCAAGTTTGAGGCTCAAACTTGATTGATTGCCTTAACTCTTTTGACAGGGGGGGGAGGGGGGCTACTAGGGCCTAGGGGGCCTTATAGGGGGGCCTTAGGGGGGGCTTAAGGGGGGGGGGAGGAGGGCTAAGGGACCCGGAAAAACACAGAAAATCGTGACTCCGGCCGGACTCTCGGCCCCGAAAACCCGGCTCCGGGGCCCCCCTTTCAGCCCCCCTTCCGGCCCCCCTTCCGGGGGCCTCCCCTCCGGGGGCCACCCTCCCGGGCCCTAACTTTCCGGACCCTACCCTCTAGAGCCCTCCCCTCTAGAGCCCTCACCTATATGTAGGGATGTTTACCAATTAATTGCAATTAATTGGCAATCAATCAAGTATAGTATCGCGATGTGGCAATCAAGTCAATTATGGGCCTCAAACTTGATTAATTGCCTTGGGTTGGGCGCTGGTCTGGCTCGGCCCCGGCATCCATAAGTATATCGACAAGATCCCAGTATCCTCTGACGATAGCTGCGTTAAGCGCGCTTCCACATTTGCCGCCACGAATGTTGCAGTCGGCGCCCTTGTTGAGCAACAGCCGCACGGCATGTGTCTTGCCTTCATGTACTACCGCTTGTAGAGCCGTGCCAAGCAGGCCCCCTGTCATGTTGACGTCGATATCGGTACAGGTTTCGAGGAGACGAACGAGGCCATCATCGCCACCGAGCGACATACATGCCGATTGCAGCGGGAATCCATATGATCCCGCTCCATGATTGACATCGGCACCATGCTCTAGGAGAAAGTTGACTCTGGAAATTATGGCAGAGGGACTTGCGTGTAGCTGGAAGGCTGCTTGCAGAGCAGTGCCATATTGCAGGCCTCTGTTGTCGTTCACATCGACGCCATGATCCAGCAGCAATTTCAATGTTTCGTTATTCGGCCCGTTCTGTGAAGCCGCAGCGTGCCATGCGCTCCCGAAAGCACCGCCTTGAGCATGGACATCGGCGCCGTGCCCAATCAGCAGGCCCGGGATGCTATCATTATCCATTTCGGGTTCTGACGAGCGATACCTGGAGTTCTTCCTTGCGCAGATCGCCTGGAGCGCGGTTCCATATTTGCCCCCTTCGATGTTCACCGCGGCTCCATGGTCGAGAAGCACGCGTACCTTTCTGATGCTATTAGTAACACAGGCGCTTTGAAGAGCTGTGCCATATTCCCCTCCCTTCTCGTTCACATCGGCGCTCTTGCTTAGCAGGAACTCTTCAAGGTTTCCATCATCGTACTTCGACGCGGCAGCGCCTTGCAGCGCGGTCTGAAATTTACCACCAGTGGCGTTCACGTCGACGCCCTTTTCAAGTAGCTTGCGTACAATCTATAATCGCTCTGTCTGTCTTTGGACGTAATCTGGCGTGTCTCCGTTGCCGTAGCATGCAGCCTGTAAAGCATTACCATACTCTCCTCCTTGAATATCAACATCGGCGCCGTTATCCAGCAGTACATTCACAATGGCGGAGGCATTAGTTGCACAGGCTGCTTGAAACGCTGTTCCAAAGAAGCCCCCTTGTCTGTTTATCTCGGCACCTCTGTCAAGCAAGAGACGAATCACATCACTGTTCTCAGCATGGCACGCAGCCTGTAGGGCATTTCCGTACTTCCCACCCTGAGCATTGACGTCGGCGCCCATGTCTAGCAGTCTCATAACCGCAGCCTTAATTTCCTTCATCTTCCTGCTTGCTCTAACCTTGATTAGGCATGCCGCCTGAAGGGGGTAGCCAAAAGGCTCGCTTCCCAGGTTGACATCAGCACCATTTTGCAGTAAGAAGTCGAAAATTTCCGGCGATTTGAAAGAACGAAAATTATAAGCGGCGTGGATCAATGCGGTTCCATGGATGATACACTGCTGGTTGATATCAACCCCATTGTCTAAAAGAAGCTGGAGGCATTTCAAAGCTTCCTTAATTTCTGTAGGGTCGAAAAAAGCGTGGTATTTCCAAGTCACATGTGGCGGGATCAAACGTAACACTGGACAACCTGCAATGCGTACGTCAACCCGGCGACTCAAGAGAAATTTCAAGGCCGCTGAACTATCTTGGGACGCGGCGGCCTCCAAAGCTGATCCTATGGTGTTATATCGTGTGTTGACATCCGCGCCGCTGTCCAGAAGCAGTTGTAGGATCTTCAGGTCGCCGTTAAACGCCGCCCAGTGTAGCGCGCCACCTACTGTGTAAGAGTCCATCTGCAGGTCATAAGTAAGATTGTTCATAAATTGCGCCTCGCCTGATGGGTCTAAGATTGGTGGTTCGATTTGTGCGTTGGCGTCGGCGCCCTCGTTCAGAAGAAACTCGACGACATCGGCATTTCCTTCCCGCGCGGCCTCAAGAAGGGCCGAGTCCAGATCTTCCTGAACCAAGAATGAGTTTGGTCCTGGATCTCTCCGAAGCAGCAGTTTGGTAAGCTCAACAGAGCCAATCGCTGCAGTGTAGCAATATGGGCGCCGCCACATATTATCCTGTCGCACTTGGCAGATGCCAGGCTCGTTTGTTCGCAGTCGCCCGTGGCGCACGCTAATATTGAGACTCCTACTGCGTGTAGAGAGGACAAGTTCAGCGAGACGCACAACATCAGGCGTCCACCGTTTGCGTGGGACCATGTCCAAATGCCACTCCCAGTTTCAGGCGGCGTAGCTTTTCACAGGAAGTTTTTGGCTGTCTCCCGTGTCCCCAGCACTTCTGTGCAGGTAGTAATACATGCAGCAATGTGCGATGTACAAGTGAGCATCTAATTCGGTAAAATAGAAGCTACTTGCCTCACTGCATCTAATTCGGCTGGATATCAAGTAGTCCTTCACTGTGAAATGAGCCAATCGAACGTGTATGATCGATTTTCTTCCGCGAATGTGAGGTTCCTCTCTCCATTCTTTTTGGATGGTCACAAGGCTTTGGAAGTATTGCAAAACGTCTTCCGGCTTGAAAAGCCGCTGATAGTTGGTAAACTCGGCGGCGCACTTAGGGTGGAAGACAAATACTTCGGCCAGTTCATCGAGGGTGAGATCCCTATTCGCAAGCGCCAGCCATTTGAGCGAGCCCAGGACCTGGGGCTGGACACCATGGCCAACGCCTAGTAGTAGCCTTTCGTATGTCTCATCAAGTCCTTTAGGAAGATTGTTCAGGGCTGAACGGATCTCCTCTTCAAAGTGGACGCATTGTTGGAGAACTTCGAATTGGCAAACGAGGTATTGGAACCTAAATAACTGTAAGCCACGGCATATTGGCCTCTTGCACATCGCTTCCTTTACTTACATTCCATCTGCTAGTTCCAATAGCAACTACTTTGCGTCAATCTTCAACTCTTCAGGCCACGAGTCATAGGTTTCAGTAGCTAGAACAGACTCAGTGTACTGACGTAGGTCATGATTCAAGCCCACCCGATTTTGTGTCAGGTCGATGGCGACTTTTGCTGGAAGAGACAGGACCTTGTCTATCGTTGCATAGATGTCTCTCTCAGCTCTGCTTGTGCAAAATATATGGAGATTATCCGGCATCGTCGCAATGATGCGCCTAAGGCAAGCCAGAAGCTTCGGTCGCTCGCCTTGAAGAGTCGGGCACTCATCGAGAGCGTCCACAACAATGAATACTGCGGAAAATCCATGAACAGCAGCTATGAGTGCATTTTCGAGGGTCGTTACGTCTGGCCGCTCGCCTCTGGCCATGTAATTCTCGAAGCGTTTGATCGGCCGTGGGGTATCCGGACGACTCGCGCACAGCTGCCTAACAAGCGATGAGAGCATGGCGGTCACCTTCTGTTGGCCTAGATTCCCAAAACTGAAGAAGTGATAGGCAAGCGCGGTCTGGGGGTCGTCTTCGTACTCGTCCTTCAAGTGCTTGATGACGGACGAGCTCAGAATTGACTTGCCAGAGCCAGCTATATGCCGTTAGCGGATAAAACGCATCAGAAGATTGGTTTATGTTATACCTTTTCCGTTCAGCCACAAGAAGGATTTGGGTTCTTTTTCCCACATCCTGAAATCTTTGCTTTTCCGAACCAGCCATTCACAGGTTCCCTCACTGTGTTTGCTGCGAGCAGCGGTATACTGCACCAAAATATTGGCTGCCCACAGCCAGTCAAGCAACTTCTCGCGTTTATCCTCCTTTCGAGCGTCATGAACTGCTTTCAAAAGTCCCGAGACATCGGTGCCGATACTTTGCCAACAGTCCATGACCTGCTTGTGTCTGTGCTCTGCTGCCAAACATTCCTCGAGGTATTTATCGTCTCGACAAGCCTTGAGAACATCGGCAAAGACTCTCTCCTGCTCTTTGACTTTTTCAAAAAGACCATCCCACTCGTTCCACTTGACCGAGTCTAGCCCTAGACGGTAGGCGTGGTGGCGGGAGTAATAGCGATAACTCGTGACCTGGAACTTGAGGATATGCTGATATAGCATTTCCAATGCGTTTCTGTATATGGTACTTGAAATCTCAGACGACTTGCCCGCCACAGACTTGTAGTGACGCTCATAAAGGTTCTCCCACAGGTAACTCTGGACAATCAAGGATGAAATGTACTCTAGTCCTTTTGCCAGAGAAGCGGCCTGTTCAGAAGGATTCAAGAAGAGCCATATGAAACGTTAGCCATTCCAATCCGACATATTTGTTTCAAATGAGCAGACCTACCGGAAGCAGCAAACTGACGACGCCCCACGCGATTGAGGCAGTAGGATTTGCGCTCACAGCCTTGGAAATGAAGTCGTTGGCCCAGCTCACAACTCCTAGGATCGGTTTCACCGCTTCCTGTACTGGTAGCTCTGCGCTTCCGAACTTCAGTTTCCATGATTCCCGGTTAACTTGCTCCATCTTGCACTTCAAGACCGTGCCCATCCAGTCTTTCCTATCAATTTGGGAGCCCACAGTCATACCGTGGGCAGCACTCAAGTCGCCCGTCATGCTGTTTTCGAAATCCTGGACAAGCTCTTCATCTTCGTTTCGCAGCTTCTCGTACGCTAAGTTCCAGAGCTCCTGTATGGGATGTTCTCTGCCTGTGCGAGTAGGCATTGTCTCCTGTGTTTCGGCCTCTTGCAGACGCGACTGTGGCGGCTCGTAAGCAAGAGATATCGTCTCTGGAGCCGACGCTACAGGCGACTCGATCTGGGCGCTGGATTCAACCCTTCCGCTCGCCGATTCAATGGCTGGATCATTGGGTTGCGGTCGGCATGGATCGACGTCAGCCGGACTTTGGGACGTTGAATTGTCGTTAGGCCTGGACCATCCTAACTTGCGTAAGAACTTCTTGAAAGACATTTTGCCTGACATGATCCACGGACAGGTTGAGAAAGTGAAGCACCAAGGCCAAGCTGGTGTTTTAGGAAGATGGTAGACGGGTTAAGCACGCGTCGGCCATTATGGAGTTTCACGGTGGCCAGGCTACGAGCACACCCAATTAAGCTGCGCAACCAAAAGGACCACGCAGACACTACAGTAACACTAGCTGTTGCAGCCCGTATGCGGCCATACCCACTTACCTTACTGTTGCACTCTGAAAGGAGATTGCCGACTTTGCTGGTTCCTGGAGTGCTACTTACGCATTAATGAATGAATTTTTGAGGCTAGTCTGAAATCGAGAACGATGCGGAGATGACGACAGTACATGTAAAAACGACGACAAAAATTTGAAACAAAGAAGGCAACAACATTTCACCATTGAAAACTATCGTACAGGAAAGATTTTGCCTCAAGTATACGACATTTAGTGTTGTCTTCGAGAGACTCAAGGGTGGCCAATAGGTGCTATGAGAGAAGCTCAACATTTCAAATTCAGCACCAGATACTCAACCGAGGAAACTCGGATGGCCTGCGGACGATTCAAGAGAGTCAGCGCATGGTATCTGATCTTAATTTGTCTAATCTGATAGGTTTCATTACCAGACCAAAACACACCGAGTCCCAAGGGCGGAAAGGATGAAAAGCGGGAGTGGCATGGACAGATGAAGTGAAGTGCTTTCCTACCTTCCATACTGCGTTGGTGCCGCCCGGGCGCTGCCCCACCATACCGGGGGCACGCATGCCGACCCTCCGACTCCACCTAAAATTTCCAGCTCTTGCCTTCCTCCATCCCATCTCGAACAGCAGCATCTCTCGATCCTGGGGTCCCTAATTTGCGGATCCTCCTCGTCGCCGCCTCGACCAGATCACCCGTGAAAATGGCCACTTCAAAAGGCCTTCCCCGCGATACGTTCGCAAAGCTCTCCCCTCACCCGTTCCTCCTCGCAAACCTCCAACCGCCCGCGCCTGCCAATTCAACCCGCAGCAACGGCCGCCGTCCCGATGAGGCCCGAATCCCAAATATCAACACCTCTTCCCTCACCCACGCCAATGGCAGTGCCGTTGTTCGTACCGGCGACACAACCGCCATCTGTGGTGTCCGCGCCGAGACCATTCTCTCCTCCGACATTCCCAACTTCCGTCGTCACAATGCTCTTACCACAACCGAGACGGACGGCGCTGCAGAGCTGAAGGACTACGACTTGCTCGTCCCGAATATCGAGCTCGCCACCGGCTGCGCGCCTCAGTTCCTCCCCGGTGTCCCTCCAACCACCCTCGCCCAGACCCTCAGCACACGAGTCTACTCTCTCTTGCACTCCTCCAAGCTTCTCGACGCCGAGGATCTGAGGATATGGTACACCCGCCCCTCCGAGAGCGCTGCCGGAGACGATGACAAGGACAAGATGGAGGAGGATGGCGGAGACAAGGAGGAGGGCGAGAAGGTGGTTATTGCGTATTGGGTTCTCTACATCGACATCTTCTTCATCTCCCTCGACGGCAACCCGTTCGACGCTGCCTGGGCCTCCGTCCTCGCTGCCCTGCGCGACACGACCATTCCGATCGCTCGCTGGGACCCAGACCGTGAGCTAGTCATCTGCTCCCGCGACAATCCCAAGCCCCTTGCCATCAATGGCTTCCCCGTTGCTTGCACGGCGGGTGTCTTCACTGGCAAAGAGACGACTGACAAGCCGGCAGACGGCAAATTCTGGACTCTGGTGGACCCGGACACATTGGAGGAGGGACTCTGTGACGAGGAGGTTACGGCGGTAGTTGATCGCAGCGGGGAGGAGACCAAGATTCTGGCGATATCAAAGCACGGCGGCACGGCGCTGCAGCCGCAGCTGATCCGGGAGTTTGTCGGTGTTGCGGAGCAGAGATGGGAGGAGGTCAGGAAGGCCATGCCATGAAGATAATGATACCCGGTAAAGGAAACAAAATCAAAAGTTCTGGGGAAAGCAATGTTTGTCTCCCCTCCATTGTACTATGTATCCCCTCTTTCTTGTTTTTTTGCTTCATCACAGGCAAACGCGCGCATGTTTCCTGTCATGAGCTTTGATGAGTCGACAATTCCCATCACCAGCCGCACCCACCCGATGCGGCTGTCATGAGAAGGAAGCTGCATAGCTACATGCACCCGCCTTAACACGTCTTGTTTACCTCTTTCCAAAAGATTTCTCCCTAGCTCCTGGAAGAAACAAAACCAAAACATCTTTCGCAGAATCGAAGGGTTCTGCCATTCTTCAACGAAACCAAACCACTCAAACACCCCGCGATTCGACTATCATGTCCGACATCGATATCTCTAAGCGCCTCGTTGCCGGCGACAAGGATAATCTCCTTCAGATCCTCCAGACGGTCGTCGATGCGGATGCAAAGACCCGTGAGCTAGTCACCAAGCTCGCGGACCATCTTCACATCCCCAAGGTCTTCAGCTCGCGCCGCGCCACGCGTAACACCGTCCGCGCCTCGTCGGAGGCTTCGCACGACTCCGGTATTTCGGTCCACCACATGCTCGGCGACGTCCTTTCGCAGCCTGAACGTGCCCTTCGCGTCTGCAAGCAATGCCGCAAGGTCTACGATGAGAACGACGAGGACAAGAAATGTGGATCTCATCATCCTGGTACGTCTACTAATCACCTTGAGCTTATAGTTATGCTAACAATATTCTGCAACAGGCGAATGGCTTATAGAGGTAGAGACAGAAGATAAGATCGGCTTTCACCATGCCAGTAAGGCCAGCGACGACATCAAGGACAACGTCAACTTGATGTGGGTGATGTCCTGCTGTAGCGAGGAGAAGAGCAAGCTCAGCACCGGCTGCACGGTTTTCTACCACGTCGCCATGAAGGCCGGTGACGATTCGGGCTCCAGCTCCGCCTGATTTTCTTTTCTACTTCGCAACACGACTTTATGAGATATGAGCATACCGTGGGAAGGAGTTCGTTGGGGGGACTTGTCTTTCGCATCGTCCAGACGGATTAAGGACGTAGGGAGGAACAGTCAGGCCGGAAGGAATAGGAATAGCCGTTTGATGCAGGATATTCCGGCAGGGCAATATCCATCAGAGCAAACGGCAGTCAACTAGCACCAGGCAGACGCATCAGCTAGGCAAACAAGATTCGCTCAAAATCTTGTCCACAAGGCAGGGCAGTCAATCAAAGCTCACGTCTACAGTGAAAGCGTGTATTCCACAATTCGAGCCACCTTTTCAGACGTTATTCCAAGGCAGTAGATACTAGGGAAAATATCTCTCTACCGCCCGGCGCCGAGGAAGCCTAATGAAAGGCCCTCATAGGCTGCGAATCTACTGTTGGTGACTCGCGGCTGGTTTACCGGGCGGATGGTTGAAGAAGAGAAGAAAATCCGTAAAGCCCAGCGACGCGCCAGAAATTTTTAGAGTGGGCGGCTCTACCGTGCGAGCAGACAGTGCCTTACGTAACAACGCACCCAGAGCCTCCATTTCCCCACTGAGGGCCCCCATCGTCAAAGCTTGCTCTTTTTCCAACCTCACCTCTCTTCGCAAACTTTTCTCCTGCTTTCTCTCTCTTCCCTCCTTGACTCGGTTACCCTCCAGTCCGACATGGAATCGCTGGCCGAGAACACGTGGGATGTCATCATCCACGGTACTGGCCTGCAGCAGTCGCTGCTAGCCTTGTAAGCTTCTCTTTCTTCCTCAGCATTCTCTTTTTCCACGCCCGCGAAAATGTCATCGTTGCTGCTTCCAAAAGCCTCGATCTGACTGACGCAGCCCTCTCCGGCCGTAAAGAGCCCTCTCCCGCTCAGGAAAACAAATCCTGCACCTCGATCCCAACGAGTACTATGGCGGTCCCGAAGCCGCCTTCTCCCTCCAGGAGATGGAAGACTGGACTGCCGCCAACGCGTCCAGCTCTGGCGTCTTCTCCTCGGCGAAGATAACAAAGGCAGAGCAAGGCGTTTCCTCTCCGCGAGCCTACTCTCTAGCTCTTGCGCCGCATATTGTACACACTCGGTCGGCTCTCGTCACCCAGCTCGTCGATTCCCGCGCGTACCGGCAGATAGAGTTCCTCGCGGTGGGATCCTTCTTCATTTACACCCCGTCTGTCGATGACGGCGGCGCGGCAGCGATCGTGCCGATCCCCTCCACCCGCGAAGCCGTCTTCTCCACGACCGCGATTCCGGCGAGGGCGAAGCGGTCGCTGATGAAGTTTCTCAAGTTCGTCTTTGATTACGACTCGGAGGATAACCGCGCGACCTGGACTCCCCACGCCGACAAGGCTCTGGCGGAGTTCCTTGCGACGGATTTCAAGCTCGATGCGGCGTTGCAGACGTACATCGTCACACTCACGCTCTCCCTCGACGGCACGATATCCACGCGCGCCGGCTTGGCAGCCATCCACCGCCATCTCTCATCTATGGGGGCATTTGGACCGGGCTTCGCGGCAGTGTACCCGAAATGGGGCGGCTTGTCAGAGATTGCACAGGTCGGCTGCCGCGCGTGCGCTGTCGGCGGCGCGGTGTACATGTTGGGCACTGGTATGAAAGCCACACGCCCACTGGAAGCCCAGGAAGATAGCGCAGCGTTCGAGGTTGATCTGATCAGCGATGTCACGGTGAAAACCCGTGCGCTGGTCCGCGGTGCCGAGGACGTGCCGTCAGACGCAGAGCGTGTGAGCAGATTGACAGCTGTCATCGACTCGCCTCTCTCATCGCTGTTCCAAGCCGCCGTTGAAGGCGCGCCGACGCCTGCTGTAGCCGTCATCGCGATGCCTGCAGAGTCCGTAAAGGACGTCGCGTCGCCTTATCCCATCTACGTCTTTGCTCACTCGAGCGAGACGGGAGAGTGTCCATCTGGTCAGAGTAAGTTCAGCCCATCTTTATTCTATCCTGTTGTACATGATGATTTGTCAAAACTTATCTACATTGCCTGAGCTTATGCTTCGACGAAAACTTTCTGTGACCCTGATCGTACACCTTTAATCTACTTTGACTATGCAAAACCATGTGTCAACATCTGGCTAACGAGTCATCACAGGCGTCCTGTACTTCATCACACCAAAGTCAACAACATCCACAGAAGCCTTGCAAAAGGCCCTGAACGCGCTACTCTCAGCCCTTGGTAACGGTGAGAACCGCCCTCAGGCTATCTACAAGGTCGCGTATGAGCAAGCCCGCGCGGCTGCGTCCGTTTCATCCGATGCATCCCTCGTCATCCCCAGTCTGCCACTGGATCTCGCCTTCAGCGATGCAGCATTGGACCCGGTCAAGGATACCTGGACGAAAGTCATGGGTTCCGCAGCCGAAGACCCCGACGTGCAGTACATGAAGTTTGAGGATCGAGAGGGTGTTGGTGAGGAGGATGATGTCTACGAGTAGATGTCTTGGCTTTACCTAGCGTATGAAGTAATGAAACTCATGATCATTGATGCCACACAACTTTCGAAATCATCTGCGTTCCCGTGAATCTAGCTAATGTGTATGGCGCTGATGTAGAAGACGCCTAGCAAATGTATCATGAAATCCCTCCCTAGGGAAATGCAGCAAATCCATATTGTCAAATCCTGCGTCGTCCACCCCTTTCCTTTTAGACGAACCCCATTTTGACTGCGGCAACACCTTTTCTCCCCTCTTCTTGAAAACAATCGACCGCAGAAACAGAAACAAAAACGAAGAAACCCAGTTTTCAAAGCAAACGACCCCAAATTTCGTTCTTTTCCAGAGCAAATTGCAGCGCATAAAAAACCCCATATGCTGCAGAAAATTCGTCGATAACAATGCACCGCGTCGTTCATTCAATCCATGTCTTCGAGGCGCCCCGTCATGTCGACTCCGACTCGAATCGTTCCGAAAGGCTCCAGATTCTCAATGTCCTGCTCAACAGCGACAACGTTCTTGGTCGCGAGTGAAAGAATGTGGTAAAAGGCCTGGGCGGCGACGGTGTGGTCCTGCTGTCCGGGCTCGCAGAGGTTGTCGAACGTGACCCAGAGTCTGTTCTCATTGGTATCTCCCATCTTGGCGTAACCTGTCTCTGTGACCTTCTCTTCGGTCCAGTGAAGGAACTCCTGGCTTGCGACGTCCATTGCGGACCGCGCCCAGAGCGAGTCATCTTGGTTGGGCTGGGCGATGCCGTCGAGCAGGCCGCTCGGTGCTGCGTCAGAACCGGGGATGCCGCTGAAACCACCGCCGGCATCACTGCTGCGGTCGTTCTGGTGAGGAGTGAAGGGTGGGATGCTACTGCCGCGCAAGCTCGTCTGGCGGGCAGCTTGCTGCGAGTGTGAACCGGGAGGTATTGAGGCTCTGCCGACTGAAGGGGTTCCGACCCAAGGCAAGATTGCGGGTGACATATGCTCGGACATAGGCTGCGGAGCATCCATACCCATTTCGGGCATCGATTGGTCGCTGTAGATCATGCCGAAGTCCTGAGGAATGTCTTCTTGGGAGCGACCTTGGTGAGGAGTCTCGTCGAGTCGGGGTCGCACGTTGCGCTGTGATTCATCTTCACCAAAGGCCTCTTCTGAGCGTCTCCGACGTCCTCTGGGAGTTGAGATTAGGTCTGCCTGGTTCTCCTCGGCAGGAGGCGGTCCATAGATACGATCGCGAAGACCATCGCCGGCATAGATCTGGGCAAGCGGATATGTAATTCCAACGATGCCTCTCGAGTCGCCAACACCCCAAATTCCATTGCCGAGAACCAGTCGCTTGGCGTACTCGCGCGCATGAGCCGCTGTCTCCCTCTTGCGCTTCTTGGCAGATGCGTCTCTCTTGACAGCCTCAGCATTCGCAACGTAGTCAACCTGCCACTTCTTGATAACGGCGCGGGGGAACGCGGTCTCGTTTTCGTCGTCTTTCTCGAGGGGGCGAGCCACACGTGGGCGCTTCTTCTTGGCAGGTGCAGCTGCCTTGGCAGGCATGGGCGAGTTTGACTGAAGGG